TCTACAAATTTTCCCCGTGAGCAGAAGATGAATTCTTAAATTTATCCCTGAATTCTGACTTTTTCAAATTTGAGAAAAATATTAAATTTTCCTGAAGACCGCAGAAAATCACTTCCCAACTCGATTAGTAGCTTATTTTTTAATTGCCTTACAAGCCTGTCTGAATCACCTACGGGTATTGTTTGCCAATTTGACGATCATATTGCCGGAATATGTACATGCCAAAACAGAATATAGTTATAAAAGAGGTAGTCTTGTGTTGATCTCCCAGTTCCTTCGTTCTGACAAAGGTGATGTATAGCGGAATTGTATGGCCACCTAGCGTTTCGTATTCGTATGCACCGCTCTCTGTAGTCCCACTCCATTTTGTTGGAGAAACCTTGAAGGTAGCGAACATCCCAAAATGCAGAAGAATATATGTAGTCTACATCTGTGGCAGTATATATAAGGGACTTTAATTCCCCTAAGCAGCCCATTAGCAGAATACTGAAGACTGTTTTGAGATCAAAAACATAAACTTACGCGTCTGCCGAGTAATCATCCCAAGACTTCTTTGTAGCAGTTTGGTTAATACCATCGACTTTGGATCAGTGCCATAGAACGTAAGGACAAGCTGCGGTTTGGGCAATTGCCAAATGGTGAAGAATAGGTTATCGATCTGCTCAAACTTGGTTTCCTGTGCGATACGGATGTACTTTAAAGAAAAAAAGAGTTAAAACAGGCTGGTTACTTTTGTACGTTTACAAGCTGCCATTTAATTCGCCTAATACCCTGGAAAGTCAACCTCCCCCGCTTGCCTCGTATGTAGACCTACAATGAAGCGGAAAACTATACACTGCTTTTTGCCAATACAAGAAAACATACGAGTCCCAGGAAGACGACGACTCGATCGCTGCTTTTTGTCTATGTAACGCTCACAATGTCTGACGGAATGAACAGTTGTGGCAAAAATAAATTATATGTTTCGTTGCGTTCGTAAATCTAAATTGGTGCCAATGTGTGGTACTCAAAGTTATCGCTTTAATGTCCCTTAAATATTTCTGGACAGTAAGCTGACAATTGGAACGTCAATATCGGGTCATCGCACGGCATACCTGCTCATCATAGAAACAAAGAAGCGATTGGCTCCCAACTGACTGGAATGGCGGGCGCATCAGACCAATAACCGTCAAGAACATTACAGTTTACAC